TATGCTTTATATTTGGTTGACTCATTTACACATCTATAACCGATAGGGCTGGCAGAGCCGATGTCTTGCTGTTGAATCTTTCTCCTGATACTTATTGTTGTTGCCTCGTTATCTTGGACCTCTCCTCTCCTATTTTTATTTATATTGCTTTATTTTTAAATTTTGAGAATTAAAATATATTTTAGTGATTTAGTATTAATATTGTTTTAAAAAAAATAAAAAATAAAAATACAATATTATAAATAAATAATTATTGATTTTGAGAATAATATATATTGAATTTAAATTTCTTTAGGAATTGAATTGTTTTATATATTTGTATAATTGAATATTCGTATATAGAAATGATATTGATATAAGAATAGGTGTATTTATTTTAATTATTAATTATTTTTAATTTTATTATGGTTTGTTTAAAAACATGTTATAGAGGAATAATTTAATTTATTTTTTTTACTTTTTGATTACGATTATGAATATGTTGGATTAGGATTTATTATTGATTTTGGAAGATATTTGTTTTGTTGGCATTGATAGCATATTGTATTTTTGGGATATATATTAATAGATAAATATATAATATAAAATAATTTTGGATCTTTAAATTGATGTTGGGTATGAAGCTCAGATTTTATAGCATGTTATGTGTTTTTTGCCTTAATAAGCGGATATATTGGGATAAATGCGGTTGCGTACTTTTGCTGCCTTAGGAATAGATGATTGGCTTCGAGCACGCCCCGTTTTGGCCTAGGATTTCTTGCTCATTAATGTTGTATTTCGAGATATTGTTTTTATGTTGCTGGGAATTTTATATATTGAATAGGATAATATATATTATTTTTGTTACCAAAATTTGGATGCTTTCGGATACCTTTGTTTTTTGTATGAGATATGGATACAAATAGGCTACGCATGCTATGTTGAAGAACATTGTGTTTGTTTTAGCCTTGTAGGCTGGCATACTATCCTCGTTGGAGTCTGTGAACCTTTTATCCTATGATTCCCGGATAAGACCTGCGGATGTCTTGGTGATGAAAACCCTACAAATCCTTCAATCTTCTTGGCGTCGTTTTCCATGGTTGGTCCTGGATGTAGCGATTACATATCCTTTCTAATCTCGTATCTTGGAAATGATGACGCAGGAATCATTTGCAATAGCATGCCAATATGCCGAACATAAACGCACTCATGATGTTTTGCGGAGTCGATGTGTGACTCAAAACATTGGTTATGAGCCTTTGGTTTGGGAAAGTACGGATGGATTGGATGCCGAGGGAAAATGATTGTTTCGATTCCTTGCTCGCATGGTGGATGAAAAACATGTTTTGTGTTTTGGGATTAGAAAAACCCAATTTGAAATCCGAGTTTTGATTGAATTATAGAGAAGTTATTATTTGGCATGTGAAAAACGTCGGGAGGCGGCGTTTGGCCGCACATACAGGTAATTTTGGAGGTGTGCTCCAAGGATGATGAATTGGTTTCTTTGGTTTTATTTGCCGCTCTCGATGATTGTTTCGATCTTTTCTGATGCATGGCGGTGTCCTTTACGATTATTTCTTTTAGTTTGTATTTGGTGGAGTTGTTATTCCTTGAGTTACGAGGAATTTATGTTTTTTGGATCGAGATTCTCGGTCTGTTTTGTATGTTTGGTTTGGGCCTCGTTTTCGGAGCGGGGGGTGATATAATCTCCGTTGCTAAAGTAGGATTGGGTTGTGGGTGGGCGAAATTTTATCTCCCGATTTTGTTCGACATCTAAATTGGAAGATTTGGCTTGAATTGCCTATTGTATTATAGATTGTTAATCCTTCTGCGGAAATAATTGTGCGTAGTTGTTTGATTTAGCTTTAGTTGTTTGAGTCGAGTTAGAGGAAATTTGGGCCGTTATTTGAATCTATTTAATATATATATATTACATTTTAAAAAAATCATATGTTTGAATATTTATTATATTGAGATAAAATATATGTAGGATTTATAAATATATTGAATTTAGATTTGTTTTATATATAAATATCGAATAAATTGAAAATTTAATATTTTTTAATAATACATTATATTAATATCTTTTATTATATATGATTATAAAAAAAAAACATTATTTTTAAATTTTTAATATTATTATTTATATATATAATAAAAATGTTAAATAAACCATAATTAAATATATTAACATGTTTATTAATGGGTGTGTTTTGATTTTGGAGGATTGATATTGAAATTTTGAAATATTATAAATTTAATATATTTATATTTTGTTTAATTGATTTTTATGCTTAAAAGAATGAGGTGATATAATATATATATATATATTTAAATTATTATAATATTTCTTATATGTTTTAATGTTTAAAATAAAAAATATGTTTTATTCATATTTATATTCTTTTTATATAATTATAATAACATATATATTGGATTATGATAATAATATTGGAATTGAAAAAGAAATAGGAACTATTAATTTGATATTGATTTTTTGATAATATTTAAATAATTATATAGAAATAATCTATATAATATTGGAATTATTATTTGTACAAATTTAAATAATAAGAAGGAAATTCATTATATTTTGTTATAGAATTATTTCGAGTATTTATATATATTTGAGGTTTATATATAAATAATTAGATAATATTTTAAATAATATATAATATATTTAATATAATACATTAATCCCATTTTATATATTGATTTTTGAATTTCTATTTGTTTATCTGAAATTTGGCTTATTAACCACCGAATAAAATTTATTTCTTTAAATAAAATAAATTTTATATTCCGAATTAAAAAATATTTTATAAATCAAAATCCTTATATTTCTCGATAATAAATGATTAAATGAATTCATTTATATTGATTCATTTGGGATCATAATCTATTTTTGGAAAGAATCCCCAAAATTGTTTATTATCAGAATGGATAAATTTTTCGAACCATAACCATATTTTTAAGTTTCTTGCTTGAGAAATTGAACCTTCAGGTAATTGAGCCTATACCATTTTCGACATAATTGAGCCTGTAGGTCTGGGCAGCACCTAATATTGATATAGATCCTAAATTCATATCGTTAAGAAATGAAATCAATATAGGAACAAAAATTAAATGGAATCAATAATTGATTTTTGGTTTGATTATTTATTATTATTGTGCAAATTTATAATCAGAAACATATCAAATTGGGCTCAAGACTAGACATATTTTGATAATTCTTACTTATGAAATTGAGCCTCTAGGTAATTGAGCCTACACAATTTTCGGCATAATTAATTCTGCAGGTCTAGGTAGATATAGATAATAATTGGAAATAAGAATTAACCTTTAATCTAATTATTTATTATAATTATACAAATTTATGACCTAGAAACATGCAAATTAAGCTCAAAACCCGTGAAGGGCATAAATCCAAGAAAATGGTCAAATCTAAAATTATAAGATCTCAAATTCAAATGCTTCCTCAATTATCGAATTCCAATATTTTAATCCAGAAAATGATCCAATTTAGAATAATTAACATCATCATCGGCATAACAAATCAATTATAAATCATATATAAAAATATATTAATCTAAAATGATAATTATAACCATTTTCATAAAATCGAATATTGTTTTCCAATTCAATCCAAATAATCTATATTTATTTAATTCAATAGAAATTATAGAATAAATCGCATAGATAAAAATATATAATTATTTCAATTAACAAATCTAAATACCTAAAATTCAATATAAAATATATGCATAATCAAAAATAATACAAATGGGTGTGGGTCAATATTCTGGTGTGGAACGTTCCGCGGTGACGCGAACGTCTGGAACGAGTCAATTACGTAAGGCTGGTTGTTCCGGACCTCTGGGAAGACATGTGTGGAGTCCTCAAGCACACGTGAGCGAGAGGCAAAACCTAAGACTACTTTGGGCGGGGGCTTCGCTATATCGTTCTGCAATGTTTCAGACACTGGTGTGTTTATGTCAAGGAAGGGTGGAAGGAGGAAAGAGAAAGAATGGAGGAAGAGAGCAGAGGAAAAGAAACTGGGAAGAAGAGAAAGCAGGAGGAGAAAGGACAAAGGGAAGAAGGATGGGAAGGAAGGGATAAAGGAATCCAGGGAGTAAGGGAGCAAGGAAGGATGGGGCAAGGAAAAAAGGAGGGTGGGAAGGGAGGGAGGAAGAGGAAGGGAGGAAGAGGAAGGGAGGAAGAGGAAGGGAGGAAGAGGAAGGGAGGAAGAGGAAGGGAGGAAGAGGAAAGGAAGCAGGGCAGAAGAGGAAGGGAGGCAGGGCAGAAGAAGAAGGCAAGGGAAGAAGGCAAGAAGGCAGGAAGGCAGGAAGGCAGGAAGGCAGGAAGGCAGGAAGGCAGGAAGGCAGGAAGGCAGGAAGGCAAGAAGGCAGGAAGGCAGGAAGGCAGGAAGGCAGAAAGGCAGGAAGGCAGGAAGGCAGGAAGGCAGGAAGGCGTAGATGCTGCGCCTTCCCACAAGCTCCATGATATGCTTTTTGACGCTGGTTCCCGACCGCCCACAAGTATGGGAGGTGGAGCAGGGCCTACACGCTGACCACCACTGATTGATGGGTAAGCGGTGGTCCGCCTTTTGTGCTTTCCGGCGTTGAGGTGTCGTTCAGAGTATCGTTCAGACAGCCCGCCAAAACCAGAAAATTTTGCCCACATGCTCTTAGTCCAGGGCATGTGCCAAAACCAGCTACACGTTGCGTGCGTGCGCCTCGCAGCCCGGACTGCTGTCCGGTGACTTAGTAGTTGCAAGCGAGACTTATAAACAGTAGGAAGGAGAGCAATCGGTGGCCCAGAATGCAGTTCATACTCCTCGAGTGATCCGAAAAGGTGTTTTCGACGCTCCAAAATTACTCTTGGGTATGGTTTGGCGTGCCGACTGTGGCGCCTGCAGGTGCAAGCAAGAAGCATGAGCAGTAGGAAGGAGAGCAATCGGTGGCCCAGAATGCTGTTCACACTTACGAGTGATCCGAAAAGGTGTTTTCGACGCTCCAAAA